TCACAGCCCCTTCCGGTTTTTGAGGCTTCCTGTTTAATGAAAACGTAAGAATGCCAAAACAAGGTTGAGAGAGTCATCTAGCAATCTTCTTATAAACCTCTTCTTCTTGGCAAGAAAGAACCATGTCTATACAAATGATAAACCTTAAAATTCTAACTTGCCTTTTCCTGGGAAGTGGAATTTTCAGTATTATTTAGTCCATTTGCAGGACCTACCCCTAAGTCTTGAGCCCCTTGCGGGGGTCTATCCCCAGACAGCTGCCTGACTACCAGGAGGTGCTTCTCCAACTGGCAGCAGCCTTAGCACCTAGGATGGACTTTAACTGGCATTGATGGCAAATAGTAAACAGGGTTTTTTAAAAAAAGAAAAACAGCCTGGCTGTCTTTGCTCCCCCAGTATGTGTAATTATATGTGTAATTTGATCCACTACTTAGCACAGGATGGGAGAGAATGGAAACCAGCTTTTTTTCCTTTCAAGAATCTATAATTGGCACCTTAACAACAAAAATGTCTTCACAAACAACCTTCAACTTGAACAGTAAATTAAACAATTGATTTTAATTCATCTATTAACTTTTATGTTTTTCCAACTCTTACAAGTATAAGAGCATTTCTTGAAGTCTGATCTCTGTGCCATCCATCTACATCACGGATATCTGGAGTGCCCCTTAAACCTGCATATTTCTTGGACCTTCAAACTTAGATTTCTGGTGTTGGGGACCTGGAATATGTGTCTTATAAAAGTTTTCTTGGCACTTCTTTTGCACTGTAAACTCTGAGAACCATATTCTAGGAAAGTACTTAAATAGCTCTTTGTAAAGTGGTTTCCTGAGTAAATTACCCTTTTAAATACTGTTATGTGGTTTCTAAGGGGAAATATTCATGTAATTTATAAAACAAATTTCCTGATGGAGGTTTTCTCCTGAAAAGCATTTTTCCTACTTGGGAGATTTTCAAAATCCATGTGAACTACAGTAATTATGACATAAGATTAGAACGAATAATTTTTACCTCATAATCCACCATACTTCATCTATGTTTACTTTAATAGTGGAAACCACAATTGGAATTATCTGTTTCAGTGGCTTAAAAATGCATAAAGTTTTTCCCCGATAGGAAAATATCAAAATAAAATTTATTGCCAACAGAATGTTCTCCCTGTCAAGCATTTAAGAAAGCACTGTTTCTTTGATTTCTTTCAGAATCTAATTTTCAGCCCTTTTAGTTACAATCCCAAATAAAATTTAACGCTACTTACTTATATAATAATAGAATGTGACCACCAGTGTTAACATAAAGGAAATATGCTTCCGGTTGATGGAGTTAGATGAGAAAGTCATTCATCAGGAGGGCAAGCATTGTCTAACTCACAAGCTTCCACTTTAGACTTTTGCCTTTCATTAGTCTTTAGGAAGAATTGAGGTGAAAAGGGATGATGCTGAGGCCTCACCTGTATCTGAATGATGTGCTCAGAGCAGCTCTGTGCCTGGTTTACTACCATGGTCTTCTGCAGGAACCTTTCACCATTTTCTTTAAATAAACCCCTGGAGGTTACTCTGGATGAAAATCCATCTGCATCAAGTGTGATGTTATACATAATGGCTGTGATAAAAATCATAAAGACATATTATTACAAACGAACTTATAAGGAAAAAGCCCCCTGCTTTACTGTGTCTTACTGGACAAAATAACTGACTTGAAGAAAATACAGAAACAGTCTTTACATTGGTGGATAGTGAATGCCATGGGTAGCACCACATGGCATTTGTCATTATAGCTCTGATATGATTAGCTGACTGTGGATACGAAGAAATGTGGTTCAGAGAAACGTGGGGTGGAGAAATAGAAAAAACATTGAACTTGCCACCAGGAAACTTACTGGATGAACTTGGGCAAATTACTCACTCCCTCAAGCATCAGTTTCATCATCCATAATACGGAGATACAGAAAGGAAAAGAATAGTTTTTGAGTGTCTGCAATCTAACATATTTTCACATGCTACAGAAGCTTTATAATAAACGTGGAAAGTGGATATTGTTATTCTATTATGATCTAGAATAAAAGAGGTAAAATAATTCACCTAAGTTAGTACAGCTAGGGCATGTTCAGAAATAAAATTTGGGTATTTTTTTAAATAAGAGCCTATGTTCTTTCTGTTTCCATGCAGTTGTAAGGATTAACTGTGATTGTGAGGATGAACTGAGATACTCTAAGGGAACATGTATAGTGCCTGGCATATTCTAGATGCTTACGTGGGAAATGTATGCAATGCTGCAGTGCTAAGGGTTGAATCAGACAGGCTTGATTTGAATCCTAATTTCACAGTTAATGAGCTCTTTGCCTTTGGGCAATTTACTTATCATCTTTGAACCTCTGTTTCTTCATCTATGTAACAGAGATAATAATACCAACCCATGAAAAATAACTATTCATATGTGATAAAAACTGATATCAGTAGCTAATGTCTAAACTATCAGAATCATTATCTTCAACTAAAGTCCATGGGCCACTTGTCCAAAATTGAGAGACAGCATCCGGTGTTATTCACAGCATCAACTACCTTATTTGGGGTTACTCTGTCTTATTCTATTATATTCAATATTTTACAGGTTTAATTCCAAAACATGAATTCTACATGTTACCTTTAAAATATTTACTAGGGATCATGTATAATTTTTCTTGCTCCAATGGCTTAATGAGACCAACAAAGATAGATAAAATAGTTGGGCACGGTGGCTCACGCCTGTAACCCTAGCACTCTGAGAGGCCGAGGCGGGTGGATTGTTTGAGCTCAGGACTTCGAAACCAGCCTGAGCAAGAGCGAGACCCCATCTCTACTAAAAATAGAAAGAAATTAATTGGACAACTAAAAATATACAGAAAAAATTAGCCGGGCATGGTGGCGCATGCCTGTAGTCCCAGCTACTCGGGAGGCTGAGGCAGAAGGATTGCTTGAGCCCAGGAGTTTGAGGTTGCTGTGAGCTAGGCTGACGCCACGGCACTCTAGCCCAGGCAACACAGTGAGACTCTGTCTCCAAAAAAAAAAAAGAAAAAAAAAGAAGATGGATAAAATATAAAAAAAAAAAAATAGGGAGGAGGAGGAGGAAGAGGAGGAGCAACGTGACCTTGGAAACGGAGATTGAAGCGATGCAGCTAAAAGCCAAGAAATGCTGGCAGTAACCAGAAGCTGGAAGAGTCGAGGAATGAATCCTTCCCTTGAGCCTGCAGAGAGAGTGCAGCCCTAGATTTTGGCCCAGTGAAATTTATTTCAAACTACAGTCCTCAAGAATTGTGTAAGAATATATTTTTAAGCCACCAAGTGTATAGTAATTTGTTGCAGTGGCAATTGAAAACTAATACAGATTGTGGTATCTGCTGCAATAAATTTTAAAAAATGTGAAAGACAAAGAAAAAAAGATAAACCAAAAATAAGTGGTGAAAATGATGCAAAGGAAAAATAATGGCCAGGAGGTGACTATAGTTAGGACAAAGTTGGTGCACATGATAATACTTTTAAATTTTTTTCAAGCAGCTTGGTTAAAATGATCTATGGTCTCATAGGCAATATATTAATTTTTTATGTTACTAACTTTAAACTGGAGTGTGCACCTGATGCAGTAACTAATAGAAACCACATGCTTTATAAATTCACTTTCACCGTTGTGAAGAGGGGATTCGTGTTTTACACATTATTATTGCCAAACGATGAAGTGACAAATGATCTCAGGATCATTTTGTTTGGCTTCTCTGTGGGGATCTGAATGCATCAGGGAAAAGGATTCCAAGGGAAAGATGTCCAACAGCAAGACAAGTCAGAGCCAGTCGATGGGAAGGAAATTCTCTAAAAGTAGAATTTTTGAGTGTGCGGCACCACCAGAAGTGAAGTATAGGCAAAAAGTGGAAGACACATGAGACACATCTATACTTCAGGGCCAGGAGAGCTGCCTGGCCAGACACTCCTGCCAACTAATATATTTTCCAAGTTAATCTTTTAGGCAGACTAGCCACTTAACGCTTATACAGCAACAGTTTTTGACATAACTGTCATGGCTACTCAGTTGGATACGCTACTCAAAGCTGGGTCAATGTGTGAACACCTGAAAGGAACATTTCCAACTGGATATGAAAAGTAGGAAAATATGAAAAGTGTGCCAAGATGTGAATCTAACTTCTGCCTTGTGTTCTTTCTTTCTTTATATCTTGGTATGATTGTAGCAAATAATTTGCTTCTTTATTTTCAGCCTGCAAGTTAATTTATTTATCTGTCATTTAACTAAATACCTGTGAAATCTACAGTTTCTGAAGTTTGGAGCCAAAATCTGATGAAAGAGGGATTAGCCCTTTTTTTTAAATTTTTTTTTTTTTTTATTTCAGCAAATTATGGGTGTACATATGTTTAGGTTACATGTGTTGCCCTTGGTTCCCCCCCACCGAAGTCCGTGTTTCAAATATGTCCATCCTTCGGGTAGTGCGCATTGCCCTCCTTGTGTATACAAATACCCCTCCCCTCCTCCCTCTTCCCCCCTCCTCCCACCACCCTCCCCATTCCCCAGCATCCACTAGATGTTGTTCTGATATGTGCATTTATGTGTTGATTAGTTAATACCAATTTGATGGTGAGTACAAATGGGTCCCGTTCTGCTGCTCTTGTGGTGCTCCACTTTGGATAATGGGCTTAAGTTTAATCCAGGAAAGTGTAAAGACTAGTTAAGTGAAGCAGTGGGAGTGGAGAAGGAACAAAGGAACCTATAACTGGTTGTGATCAATTAGTTGTAAACACCACTGCACTCGGACCAGCCTGGAAGAGGGATTAGGACATACAAAACAGCAGCAAACAAAAGAAAGTAGCTTCGAATCACCTTTTAAATCTCACGCTGCACATTAAGCATGCTGAGATAACTGAGGCAGGACAAATGAAGGTGAGAGTGGTTAGAAAATGCTTCGGAGGGGGTGTGGGACCTCAGCCAGCTTGTGAAAGATGACTTGACCAGCCCAAGAGAGAGAGGGCGATTCCTGCTGACGTTTGCCCGTAGTGCTTTCCTCACCCTCCCCTGTCTGTTAGAACACAATTCAGACTCTTACTCTGTTTTATTTAGAAAATTTAAAACTCTGGACACACATTATATAGTGCTTTCCATGTTTTCTTTTCTTATTTCATGCTTATTAATGCCTGAAGAACAAGAACAACACTCGATACTTTCGTTGACCACGCCCTATCTAGATCATGGCATAGTGACACGTTGCGCACTGATTTAAGACTAACAGCATAATCTATGTGTGCCCAGGGTTTTAAATAAGGGAACTGTGGGTAAGAGAACCTCGAAGGATAGGGTTGAGAGGGCCCTTGATTAGGTCTTAGAGATTACGACTTCCTGCGTCAGAACGTCACCTGCTAGAGATGAGGAGGAAGATCTAAGCAAACCTTCCATGACTAGTGAACCATTCTCAGGCATCTCAAATGTGTGGCAATTTAAGTTTAGACAACTAAAGCCCCTTATTTCTCTTGATCTACAAACCAGAATATAGGTTGTGTTCAGGGCTAACACTCTGTAAACCAACCTATTGTAAACCTACAGATTATTTCAGGTCTACGCACCCACTTGAGTGTTTTGCTTAGCAGGTCTAAACTTCGCACTGAAGCAGAGTTTGAGGGTTATCTGAGCATTCTTGTTGAACAAAGTGATTTTTTCTGGTGTGAATGAAGCTTCTACAGCTACATCGGCAATACTTTGTGACCTGAAATAAAGAAATGGAAACAGAGACATTATTACTGAGTGCATATGTTGTAACCTTTAGATAGATGACCCACTGCCAGCGTTATTGAATTTTTCTCTCTATTCTGTGTCTAAACACTTAACCAGTATTTTATTTTTGTAAGCTCTAAGATGGCAGGTAGAGATACTGTCTTTTTTTGTCTGTGACTGTATCAACAGCACAATCCACATAGAATATTTTTTATTAAACGAACACGTCCATGAGCACAGGATAGGCATCTGCGACCTTTTTGCAAGTGAAGTGCAAAGTCATGTTCTCTGTTGTGTTTTGCCAACTGGTAGCAGTGATATTCACTCTTCTTTCAAAGTTAGGGGAGAGAGAAGGTGGGAGGGTGGGGGTGGCAGGCTGAGGAGTGTGGTTCTGGCTGTTTTCCTGCTGCCTGAGTGGCTGGGAGGGCTCCTTTGAGGAGTGACCTGTGGCTGTGACAGCGGCAACTAGACTGATGCTGGAAAAAGGCTGAGGAGTCCATCTCAAGCAGGGTGCTACAGCTTTCTGGCCCTGGCTCAGTCCTTTAGATATTTGACACATGGCCTCATTTGCTTCTTTACAATGCTCCTGGGAAATTGGTAGAACAAATATTGCCTCTGTTTTATCAATAAAAAAGGCCAAGACAGAAAGCCGTTTGGTGACTTACAAGTTTACTCGCTAGTTAGCCCGTGAGAAATTAGAGGCCATGGTCTTCTAATTCCTCTGCCAGTGGGATTTGTACTTCATCACAATGACCCCCCTGTGTATCCCCTCAATTATTTACAAAGCAGCAAGTAGTAATTAGTAATTTCACTGTTTTGAAAAGTACCACAAGAAGATACAGAAAATAGTTCTTTAAATTTCAGCTACCATCTGAAGGACACTAGTCAAGTGAAAAAGTATTTGTATCTATCAGGTCTCCCTAGTAAGCAGTTATAAAACATTTAACAACAAACGCAGCATGTTCTTAAACTTACAAGATCTAAAATGCATAACTGAATGCTTTCTTTAAGGCAATCTCTTTGAGAGACTGAGTACTTAGTTCAATAGAGATGTCATTGATACACACACACATACACACACACACACACACACACACACACACACACACTTTTTTTTTTTTGAGACAGAGTCTCGCTCAGTTGCCTGGGCTAGAGTGTAGCCTAGCTCACAGCAGCCTCAAACTCCTGGGCTCAAGCGATTCTCTTCCCTCAGCCTCCCAAGTAGCTGGGACAACCGGCGCGCCGCCACTACGCTTGGCTAATTATTTCTATTTTTAGTTGCCTGGCTAATTTTTTTTTATTTTTAGTAGAGTTGGGGTCTCACTGTTGCTCAAGCTAATCTTGAACTCCGGAGCTTCAGCAATCCTCCTGCCTCGGCCTCCCAGAGTGCTAGGATTACAGGCATGAGCCACTGCATCTGGCCTGTCTTTGATTTAAATATTTTGTAAACTTGTTTTTAAAAAAATTCTTCTCAGGGAGTTGCCCAGAAAAGCCAATCTTAGCACCTTGTAGGAATGCAACCAAAAAATGGCATTAACCTAGCTTAACTGGTCATCTTAGTACATCGATTTGATTCTGTGTGTCTTGACTTTTTTGAAAAAATCAAATCTACTTTGAAAGAGAAAAGTTTGGCCATCACCAACTATGTGAAAAAGGGGTATCATAGTATAGTAAACATATAGCCTACCAAGATGGCTGCAGGGTGATGTTCCCTGAGAGGTATGATAAAATTGTTTAAAAATCAGTCATATTATTATATCACACCTTGTATTTACTCTTGGTATGCTACTCTTTTTTTTTTTTTATTTCAGCATGTTATGGGGGTACAGATGATTAGGTTATGTATGATGCCCTTACCCTCCCTCCTCCCCAAGTCCGAACTTCAAGTGTGTCCATTCCCCCGGAGGTACGCATCTCACTCATTGTGTATATGCCCGTCCCCTCCTCCCCCCTCCCCCTCCCCCTGCCCAACATCTAATACATGTTATTCTTATATGTGCACTTAAATGTTGATCAGCTAATACCAGTTTGATGGTGAGTACATGTGGTGCTTGTTTTTCCATTCTTGGGATACCTCGCTTAGTACAATGCTACTCTTAAATGATTTTAACTGAGTTTACTAAGTAAAAATATATTTTCTTGTTTTTTAAAGTCTTAAATATTATCCTTGAGTTTTATTTTTTAAATTTTTTTCCATATAAACATTTCATTTTGCAACAAAAACAATGCATCTCATTCTTCAAAAGCACAAGGGAGATTTGTAAATAGTATTATTAAACTCATAAATAACAAAACATCAATTAATAATATTTTTCTGTTCTTGACATATTTGAACATTTAATGCACATTTTTCAACAGATAAAAATGAATGAATGGGGACCCTTGATCGAGTAATCAATGTCTGTTTCCATTCCTTCACCAGCCCAAGATACTTATTTTTGACCTTGAATCACATGACCTTTGAATCCCTTTGTTCCCCCCAATCTCTAACTTCTATGGAGGTCGATGAGAGGTCAGCTAAACCTAAATAATGGTTTCTTGTTTATGACTAATAATTTAAAAATATAACTTTTAGTCACATAATGAGTTGTTTATTTGTGTGGTCTAAATTTTCAGTATTGTGAGTGCACTCTCATGAGGTTTTCTTTCTGTAAGCTGAGATAAGTCTGTTTATTGGAAGATAACATTCAGAAATATCCTGGCTATCAAGGGCTTTGTGTTTTCTATGCACTGTTTCTTTTCACCATATAGAGAAGAGAAATTTTATTCTAGTGGTAAGAAAATATATATATTTTTCTCCACCAGGAAAAACATATTTCTTCCTTTATGCAAACTATGATACATAAATTCCTAATTATCTTACATAATGTGTGTGGCATTTCTACAACACCAGTGCAGCCATCTGTTCTACTACTTAGCAAGTCATTTCTATTAATAGTTAGCTAGTTTGTGTCTGGCTCTCACTGACTCACCAGAGTTGAACAACTTGTCCAAATGCACCAATGGACACATCAGTGATGGAATCCCCATTTAAATCTCCATAGCCATCCAAGGACCTCCCAAAGTACTGGAGATGGCTCCTAAAGGCTCCATCAGATCCCAAGATTTTCTAAAAGAGCAAATTTGACACAAAAATTATAGTGCACAACATCTGAACCAGAAAAATGGCAGTCTCTATGTTGCATTACTGTATTCTCTACATAGTCACTTCCCATGTTGTCCTTAGTCTCCACAAAATTCCATTGGTTTTTCAATCACTTCCTATCTAATCCCTGTATCACTCTTGCAGCCACAATTTCATCAATGAAATAGCATGAATCTTTAACATAAAATAACAAACCAGTGAAAAGATCAGTGGACTGGGAATAAGTAGATGCAAGTTCAGGTCCAGATTTCTATTTTAGCCCTTTTCCTTCAGGTCTTACACAAAATCTACCTACTTACTAAAGCCTCATTAAATTACCCTTTCAGCCACCTAATACCACCTCTGCTCCCTAAAATCATATTACCTATTTTAGTTTCCTTTCCCTTTAAAAAAATTCCTTAGCATTTATTACTCTACTTTATTTTATTTATCTCTCTCTCTCTCTTTTTTATTTGTTTCCTCCATTAGAATGTAAGGTCCATAAGAGCAGAATTTAGTCTGTCCTATCTTATAACACCCTAGAGTCTAGACTAATAATTGGCCACATAGTAGAGGCTCACTAAATATTTACTGAGTGAATGAATGAAGTTATAAAATTAGGGATGGACTGAGTGGTCTCCATGATACTCTCTAGCTCTCATATGATGATACTCACATGTAAATACATCACCGTGTAGCTCATGGATTACCTGGGAATGCTTCGTGCGAATAGTGCCCTGATGACCATTGTAAATATACACGGCTCCAGAGTTCTGATTTTCTAACGGTGAACCAACGATCACATCATTAAAGCCATCCATATTGATGTCTGCAAGAGCTGCAATTGCCGAACCAAATCGAGCATTTTCAATGCCGTTGGGGCCTTCAAGAAATTGGTGTTGGCTCAAAATACCCTTGCAAGAGGGAAAAAGGATGATTAAAGCAAACTTCATAACTTGTATGATTAAAATTCACAGCAATTGATGACCAAACCAACTTTTATAGAGTTTTAAAATTAGAATTCAAAATTCGCTATGTATGATGAGAATTATAAATAAGCATTTCAGTAAGTAAAGTCATAGGATATTTGCTCATAAACCGAGGTGAAAAGAGGTAATTCTCTTTAGTGTAGCAGAACAACGTACATAAAAGTACCCATTCCTTTGTCTTCGTTTCCCAATATTAGTATCTTCACCTGTTTAAAAACCTTTCAATTTAAAAATTTTCTGGTGAAAATCTACTAATATCTTAAATGAAATTAAGTAGACACAAAAGAATACGATATCTTAATTTAGACTTTACTTAAAAATTACTGAATAGTGGCATAGTTGTAATGGTACAGAAAGTGGAAAATGAGATTGTTAATATCCCATTATAAGAAACACTAAATAGTTCTTTCCAAAGGAAAAGACATTTCCTTGTAAAACACACAGTTGTTTTCCTTCAGATTTCGTAATCAAGGATGGAAATATTTGATGACTTCACAAGAAAATAATGCTGCTTAAGCATGAAACTGGGTCAGTGTTGATTCTTTCTCCTTTTACAATCTTACAGAAATTAATTTGTTACTGAGTTTGATAAAATATTAGATCTTTTCATCTTCAACAATTAATGATAATCCAGCATACTTGACAAGCAAGAAACATTTTAAAAACTGGGATTTGTTAATTTTTCAAACAAGTAGATATGCCCTTCCTTTATTGTGTACTCAGTTAAACACTCTTTATTTGTATAATTGCTTTGAAAGTGTGTTAATTTTTATATTCATTTAAATAAATAAGGTGGGACAAAATATCACAACAACTGAACGTAATATTTACTATATTATAAATCAGCTTCTCTTTTTCCATCCTTTCCCCTCTATTGTCATCAAATTGTCTGTGTTAACTTGCGCCTTTAATTCAATTTTCATTTTGGATTTCACTGAGTTGTCTATACTTATACGCATAGATTTAGAGAGTTCAGTTTACAAGTTGATAAAACTGTGCTTTTCCAGGGTAAAATATGCTAAGCTTCATGTGCAAGGACTAGAGATTTCAAGAATTGGTTGTAGAGAAAACCCAAGGCTCTCCCCTTTTCTCTCATGGATGCCTTTTTCGGCCTCCACCCATCTACACCTAGATGCCCAAAATAAACAGAATTTTGCTGCAAAAAAAAAAAAAAGTTGGATGTACACCTAAATGTTACACCAAACAATGGCATTTTCTGACAAACTAATATAGAAAGCACCCAGGGCTATATGGAGGTTTCCAAAGTGGGTGGTACCATTTGTTTTTTACACTATAAATTGAAAACAAGATAGCATTGCCCTGTTATTGTTATCCCTTTACAGTGAAAAATTGCATAAGAATTTGAAAAATACACAAACATCTGTGTGTGTATTGCAAAAATGATATAAATTTCATTGGCTTTATTTGGATAAGAGAATATATATTCAAAGACCTTTCATGAAAAATGGCAGTACACTATACATTAAACTCAAGTTATGCCTTTTAATGTGATTTTTTAAAAAATCATAGCTTAATGGTGACATCCTCAAAAATGATGAAATATAAACTAAACTGTTTATGCAAATTAACTCATTCAGTAATAATACATTTTCTTTTCAAATGCAGATTAACTTTGTCAGTTTAATGTGTATATTTCTTACCTTTATGATAGTAAAGAGGTAGACTCTCCCTTCCTCTTTCTTTAGGTCATTCATGTACATTGGTGCACCCACCAAGAGCACATCTGTAATGGCGTCTTTATCCACGTCAACCGAACACAGCACGCTACCAAAATAGGAGCCAATCTGGAGTAGTAAAGCATATTAACCTTAAGATTTCTAAGATTCATATACTTCTAATATTACATGGAACTTTTGTTCACTCACTTAATACATAAAAATTAAGTGTTTCCTACCTGCGAGGTGCTGGGAAGATAAAGGGACAACATAGTCCCTTCCCTCAGGTTGTATCATGATTTAACACCTGATTCTTAAACCTCAGCGTGCATGAGACTCACCAAGAAAGTATCTTTAAAATACAGATTCCTGAGACCCATTTCTAGAGATTCTGATGTCATGTCTAGGATGTGATCCAGAACACAGCATTTTAAATGAGCACTCCAGTGAAGCCAGTGGGTCAAAGATCACACTTACAAGACAAACCCTTAGTAGGTATGTGAGGCATGTTGTAGAGAATGGCAGGAGGGGTAGAGGCAGGGGAAGAAATAATTGCGCTTTTGTGGTAAAATAGATTGTAATAGAGGCAAGTCTCAAATGCTGAGTGAGCAGAGTACAAGGGAGTCAGGAAGACTTTGAAAGCTGAAGTAGTATTTGAATCATATCTTAAAGAGGACAAGGGGTTTTTTAAGTGGAAAGAAGTGGAAAAGCACGAATGATGTGAGCATCCTTGGCATGATCTGGGACAGGTAAGTAGTTGCTGGATAGATCAGGACAGGAGGAGTGGGTGGAGATAAAGTAAAATAAGAGAGGCCAGGACTTTGAATGTTCACCCCATTCTACAATGTTTAATGCATGCCAATGTGAACACTTTTTAAGGATTTAGAAATGAATAAGAAATGATTCTTCCATAGCACTTTCATTGTTATTTTTACAATTAAAAAAACTCTTTCTTTAAAATATTAAAATGGAGGGAAAGTATGTGACCATAGTTAATTTGAGGTCAAGGAAGTAAAAAACCCAGGTCTTCTTACTGCTAAATAACAGTGGGATCAGATTTAATCCAGAGAAGAGAAATCCATGGTTAGTTCCTCTGACTCAAAGAAGAAAATCATTTTCTGTTAGTTGTCAGGGATCAGTGATGCTTATTTCAAGTATGTGTCAAGCTCATGGGTCAAAATTGCTTAGTAAGGAAGCGGGAACCCATCAGCTGTCCTTCACGCTAGCAAGAGGCCTTTGCTATCTTGGGCCATCACTGACATTTGTCATAGGGTCTTACTACCAAACTGTCACATGTCAGTAGAAAATGACAGAGAAGAGCGGTGGTTTACTTTTAGAAATGTCAAAGCCAACTGGACTCTTTGAAAGGCCCAGATGTAGAAGCTCAGTCCCTATAATGTCGTAATACTCCCTTCTTGTTATTTCTCCTCCAGATCCTTGGCTCCTAGTGTGGGCTTGTCTACAAGGCAGTGGTTAGACGCCTGCCGTCATGACTAAAAAATGCCTGTGAATTATTAATCTGAGGAGCCAAAATATGAAGTAGAATGTAATCAAACAGCACAGGCTTTAAGGCCAGACAGGACTGGGTTTTAATGACAGCTCAATCCATTAAATTCATGCAACCTTAGAAAGCTAGTTGAACTCGCAGTGAGCTGTCAAAAGGGGATGGTAGGTCTTCTCAGCATTGTTGTGAAGATTTACTGAATATAGTAAATTCAGATTACAGAGCCAATCGCAGAGTACCACTGAGGGCATGTTAGTTTCCATGTGTACCCAACTGACTCCCCGCCTGTCCCAGTTCTCCATAAAGTTAATTTCACCTGCTAAGCAATGAGATTTACCTGGTCACCTCTGTGAGCCTGAATAACTGTGACATTGCCATTCTCATTAACGCTGTATAGCACTATCTGGCCGGTATAATTTGCCCGGGGAGCACCAGCAACAAAGTGGGTGCTTTTTCCAGTAGAAATTGTAGTCACAGAATAACCTAAAAAAGAAGGAGGCATGGAGTGACTACCACGGAATTTCTCAGCCAGATAAGGTTAAAAAAAGTTAGTAGAGGTTATCAGAAGTCCTTTCCTGTCAGGTGTGATGCACACGGCTTCGTGCTTCTAAGTAAAGCATTGAGGGCACATCGTTCTTTTTCTACAATGAATTGCTCCTGCCTTTTGACCTGCATACGTGAGACTTCTACCTATAAAGCTGGTCCTAGATTCTGGGTTGTCCTCATCAGCCACCTGTGAACTTGGCACTCAACAAATATTTCTTGAATGAATGAATAAATGAATCTAAAAGGTAGTGCTGCACAGGGGAAAGAACACAGGCCTTGGAATTAGTCCCAGGTGTAGATTCTGGATTACCATTTACTTGGTTGTTTAAGTTTAGGCAAGTTATTAACCTTGCTAGCTCTTGGAGATAAAATAGTTCTGAAAGGAATTGAATGTTTATGTAGCTAGACTAGCCAGCTCAAGAACTGTCCCATAATAGGTGATCAAAATCAGTGGCTGCAAAAGAACAAGAAGACTAAGAGCTCTAAATTAATATCAGACTACCACTTACTGTATTGGCTTTTAGAAACTATTTCCATTTTGGAGAAACACAATCATGTTCCAGCAATTACAACCACTTGAATAGCCAGAAGAGATTTGTGAGTCTAATATAGTGTTTCATTAAGTAGTTATGGGTTAAGGTCTGACTGGCAAAGACACAATATATATGTGTATAATAATTATGATAATTAGATGACAGTTCACGGGTTTTGCTGAACTGACTCTGAGATTCAACAAATAGCTAGTTTAAAGGAAGGGGACTTAAGTTTGCTGAGCCAGATACTTCTATACCTTACCTAAATAGGAACTGTGATTTCTGTCTTGCAGAATTTGGTCAAAAGCTTGCTTAGGAAAGATCAAATGCCCGTGAGATGTCTCCTGGACAACTGTCCCACTCCAGTCAAAAGCTCCCACTGCACCCAGCATCAGAATATCCTAAAAAGATTGAAAAATGAATATCATTAAAACAAATCACCTTTAAAGCATAAAAATTCAGGGTAGGCAAAATATTGAAATAAATTATTTAGATTGAAAAGAAAGGAATCTAAGCATAATGACATAAAATATATATGAATGTATGTTGATACATCACAGAATTATTCTAATGTATTTGTGCTGGAGAACAAGCCTTCCTATGAGTTATGTTATCTTGGACTTTATTTAGTATGACATATAGATAAAACTTTGTAATAAGTTGTAGGATTGGATGAGTACATAGCCATCTCCAAATTTCCATTCAAAGGCATACGTTTGCCAATGCTGAACCCCATGAGCCTTTAGGAAGGAGTCAGAAGTGAGTTTCCAGCCCCACATATTCATAAAGAGAAGCTCACAGCTGGATATGAGACATGCTTGAAAAGCAGTCAGTGCTGATGACAGAGGAGAGACAGTGATGTAGCTGCTATCCCAGGCATGTCTTGGGAGGTCCTCTTCTGACCCATTCTATTCTATTTTCAACTTTCATTCTCTCTCTTCCTTACTCCTCCACTGTCCTCTAGCAACTCTATATTCCTCTATCCCATTTCTTTGATAACAGCACAGCCAAAAGGAGGCACCTGTAGACATTCAATCTACTGGAAGGGAAATAACCACTGGTGAACCCTGGAGAGGGCCAGGGAGGACAAGCTACTCTGGATTGGCTCAAACCCCAATCTGAATATTCAAAGCTACACATCATGGAAAAGGCAGATTTGGTCAGGATGGGATACATATTTTTTAAACTTTTTGATCTTAGATTCTAGAAAACACCAAAGGTATAATTTTGGATTAAAAAATACAAGCCATTAAAAAAAGAGCAAATAGGGAAATGATGTGTCCCACTTTGAGAACAAGAGACCACGAGGTTATGTGAATGATTGTAATAAAATCACAGACTCTGAATCTGGGGAGCATGAAAGGGCTTCAGGGCTTGTACAAAAGCCTCATGGAACAGTGTATAAAATTCTCTGCGTGTGGATTCATTTACATTTTTTTCTGAGGAAAAGATCCATAACTTTTATAAATATCTCTAAGGATCGATAATCTAAAAACAGTGCTTTTTATTCTAGAGAAAATAAGTTGTTCTTGGTTCTCTTACTCACTGATCAAATTCCCTGACTTCTGTTTTTTTTTTTTTCTTATTTTTCCCTTATTTTTTATTTTTTCAACTCCCTCTCTGACTTCTTATCATCCCCTAAATACTCCTCAGGCCTCACATCTTTTTAACACTTTCTCTACTCCTCTCATATCCTGAGTTGAATTAGAATCAGGGGCCTGAAAGGTGGATGTTCTGAATGGACTTCCCTGAACTAAGAAGACAGTGGTGTACTCCGATCCCACCTCACATTTTCCCTAACTCTTTACTTTTCAACTATTTTCTGTCTCTGCTCTTAGAAAATGATACAATACTGGCCGGGCACGGTGGCTCACGCTTGTAATCCTAGCTCTCTGGGAGGCTGAGGCGGGCGGATTGTTTGAGCTCAGGAGTTCGAAACCAGCCTGAGCAAGAGCGAGACCCCGTCTCTACTAAAATTAGAAAGAAATTAATTGGACAACTAAAAATATATGGAAAAAATTAGCCGGGCATGGTGGCGCACGCCTGTAGTCCCAGCTACTCGGGAGGCTGAGGCAGGAGGATGGCTTGAGCCCAGGAGTTTGAGGTTGCTGTGAGCTAGGATGATGCCACGGCACTCTAGCATGGGCAACACAGTGAGACTCTGTCTCAAAAAAAAAAAAAAAAAAAGAAAATGATACAACAGCTACTCAGAATTCAACAATGACACTGATGATAAAAGTGTATGTTTTTAACAAATGTTACCAATAGTTAATTGATTCAAAGGAAATTCCTGCAGGGATAATACCTTAAATTAATATAGTGCCTGTGCCCTGGAGCACTCAAAGGCTTTCTTGTATATTATCATTTTTTTCCCATACAAAATCCCTGTGAAATAGAGAAGGGAAGGTGTTAATCTTCAATTGTTAGATGGCAAATTGGCAGCACAAAGAAACTAAAGGATGTGACTAGGAATCTGAACTGTTGATCACTAGATGGCTGTTTTCCCACTTTATGTCTAAAGCTATTGTATCCAGAAGTGTTAGGCCAAATGGCAGCATGGCTTGAGGTTGTCTGATATACACACATTTTGAGGAGAGTAATCTGCGCTGAATCCTACTTGTGACATTTCCATCTGGAAGTTGTCCCCTCCTTGAACAGTACCTGGGAAATATCAGTTTCAAAAATTATATTACTGTAAGCAATTTTAAATAAAGTTTTCAAACACAGGCACACTTACACACACACACACATATATACACACAATGTTCTGATGTTCACCCCAAAATATAGAGCTGGTGGGTGCTGGGAAGGAGAAATCACTACGAGAGTGTTCTAGCAGATTATAGAAATCCACAGTACTCCCAAGGTAGTGTTCAAAGTTGGCATTAATCTTAATTAAACATTAATGTATTTTATGGAATACTTATGAAGTTCCCAATATCAAAGAACACTCAACAAAAAGCATGAGATAAGGTGAAAACTGAGGTGATAATTTTTTAAAAACAGTTATCATTGCTAGCTAAGAAACTAATGAAATTTTTAGCTTTTAAATATTAGTACTAATAAATGTACAAATATCTAAGATGCCACTGGAGGAGCTAGGCAATGGATCTGTAGTGACAACTATGCAGAGAGATAATTGGGTTAGCTACTCAAGACTAAGTAGGAATTTTACCAATTGGGAAGTTTGTTCCAGATCTACACAGTTCTGTCGCCAACATCATAAGACTCAATTAGCACTTATTTTCCATATAGTGTGGTCAAAAGGGTTATGTTTCACTAATCTTCACGAAAAGGAAGCTAAATTCCTGGACTGACACTTTAATACAGATAAGAAGACAAATGGTACTGAATGACATAGTCTTGTTTAGAAGACATAATAATTTTCACAAGATGAGTAGAGATAATTTTTAATAAAATAGGACAGTGCTCCCCTAAAAGTCCATAATAGTGATAATGCTCAAAATCATTTCTAGTTAGCTTGTAGATTGCAACTGTTCTTATTTATGCCACTAGAAACACACAAAATTATTAGTGTGGAAGGCCTAGTAATTTTGGGGGGAGTCCTTTTTATTTATTTATTTATTATTTCAGCATATTATGGGGGTACAAATGTTTAGGTTACATATACTGCTTTGTCCCATCCAGGTCAGAGCTTCAAGCATGTCCATCCCCCAGACGGTGCGCATGGCACCCATTAGGTGTGAATATGCCCACACTCTCTTCCCCCTCCCAACTGCCCGACACCTGATGAATATTACTACTATATGTGCACTTAAGTGTTGATAAGTTAATACCAATTTGATGGTGAGTACATGTGGTACTCGTTTTTCCATTTTTGTGATACTTCACTTAGTAGAATGGGCTCCAGCTCTATCCAGGATAATACAAGAGGTGCGAGATCACCATTGTTTTTTTGTGGCTGAGTAGAACTCCATGGTATATTTTGCATTATCTCAGGGTACATTGGATTTTGATGATGATTTAAACAACTTAGAAGCATAGGGGATATTGAAGAAGCAATAAAACTCTTTGGATAGAACTTTCCAGTGGATAATCAGGAGATCAAGATTTGACTACAGAAATGAATATTTTATGCAATTCCCTGGGCCTCAGATTCTAAGGCTATACCTGATACACAGGTGCTCAAAAAAATATGCTCTTTATTGCAGAGAGGTACTTGGGTTAACTGTCTGGAATCAGGATTTGGGTCATGTGGGACTTTTTGTTTATTTAGTTATTTTTACCAACCATGAAGTGTGTTCTGCTTCTCCATACAGTGAGCTCTTAAACACACAGTATTTCTGCACTAACTAGACCTTCCAAGGCCACCTAAGTAAATTATTTTAGGTCTGATAAATAAATTTGTTTCCTCGAAAACTGAACTATTAAAAATTCTTGCTGTATTTTTCTAATTTTAAAAGTATATATGCTTATTGTATACAAATTCAAGAACTTTAGAACTTAACACACTATAAAAAGGTAAAACTATTTACAATTATTAATATAGTAGATATTACTAAGTTGTCCCCCATAAGTTATAACAGTTTATTATCTTAGCAACAGCTTCTTTGAGTTTCTCTGCTTCCCACTAATCTCCCCAAGATTAAATATTATTAATCTGTGTCATCTTTAAGGCAAAACGTAATGGTTTAATTCATATTTTTAAATACTTACTGAAATTGGGAATATTTTCTTATGTTTATTGGCCATTTGTATTTTACCATTTATACTTTATTTTAATACTTCTTCACATTCTTTGTCCATTTTTCATACTGATTTATGGGAGTTCTTTTTATATAAAGCATGCAAGTTAACATTAATAGAACAGGTCTGATAATAAAATAAACAACTTTTTAAAAAAGTTTTGGAAAACAATTCTTGAAAAGAGTTTTGTTTTTTTTTTTTACCTTCAATGCTGAAAATTTGTTCTCCTAATGTCCCAGCCTTCTCTAGTAGAGCTGCTTCATCAGACACGTTGAAAAAGTATCTTTCTGTTGGAATACTAGCAATTGCTTTGATTTCTTTTATTAAATTTTTAGTATCAAGGGCGTTTCTGTTTAAGTACCCGAGAACCTTGAAAATAGAGGAAAAGGAAAAAAGGTCATTACCACTGCACTCCAATTTCCCTAAGTTCTAGTCTATTTTTTGTACACAATAGCCCTTCTGGAGAAGTAAATCAAGCAATGTCTCTACAACCCTTTATTCAGTTGACAGAACTGCAAATCAGCAAGAAGCAGAGATAGAGTAAAAACTTTCTTTTATATTAAACTATGAACAGCCAATGGGAAAGTGCAGCCTTGAGAAGTGATGCATTAAAGGAACATTTACCAAACAGCCATGAGACAAGTAAAAAGAAGAGCCACTTACTGCTATGCCAAACCTCAGTATATTGTCATTGTTGCATTGATCAATCACATCTTTCAACATTGAGCCATCATGCGATTCACCATCAGTTACAACCACCATTACTTTGGTAGCACTTGGTCGTCCACCAGAAGCAGCCGAATAAGCGAAATCTCTGTGGTGTGTAAAATTAAAGACTCACTATCAAAAGGTGAAATTAATATGAGGACCTCTAGTTTGAAACAGAAATATGAAACCAGCTTCTTTAAGCACAATGATTGTGACTTAGAATTTCTCTCCATATCATCTGGTGACATATTTAAGTCATGTGTCATGGCTTGTGTGTGTATATGTGTACGTGTACGCACTCTAGGATTCCTTAGAATTATTGTCTTATAAGAAAGTTGAATTTATTAATGCTAATCAACAGAGCAAAGATATTTCTGTCATAAGTTTTACTCATTGGACCTGTATTTACATTTTCAATACTTATTTTTTAAAATGTGATAGATACATATGGTAAAAAAAAAATTCAAAGTATTTGGAAAGATATAAACAAAAATTTGACACTAAGCCCCTCACTAAAGGTAACCACTATTATCGGTTTCTTATATTTCCTTCTAGAAAATGTTTTATTTAGATGTAATATGGTAATATGCATAGTTTACAGCTTAAACTTTTACTCAAACGGGGGCATATTCTTAACAATTGTTTTTCATTTTGATGGAGATCTTTCCATCAGTACATATAAAATCCTCATTCTTATTTAATGGCTGCAAAATATTTCATTATTTGGAGGCACCACAGTTTATTTAACCAGTTTCCCATTATTGGGTATATAGGATGTTTTGAGTTTTACAAGTAAGGTTGTAATGAATATCCCTGTATATATCTCTTGGCATACTTTTTCAAATGTATCAATGGGATAAAATCTTACTAGTGAAATTATTGAGACAAAGGTTATACACATTTCAAATTTTGATAGACAATGTTGAATTCAGTGTATTTAAAACTGAGCATATTATTTCTTGAAATCTTTTTTGTATTCTATATTATAGAATATGGAATTGTAGAAAATATTTCATATTTTTCAGCCAGACAAATTTGAGTTATAGTATTCACATCAGATCCTTTTTGAGTGACATATACTCTTTATAACATGCTGTAGATCTCATAGATAATTATAAGGTTTTTGAGGACAGAACTGTGCTTTATTTAGTTTTAACTACCTACAGTGCTTTGTTGAGTGCAGGTGAAATAAGGTGAACTGAAACATGGCAATATTATGGCAATATTTACTGAAAGAGTGTCAGATTCCTATTCGCTGTTTTTCGGTTTTGTTTTTGTTTTTTGAGAGACAGGATCTTGCTCTGTTACCCAGGCTAGAGTTCAATGGCATGATCATAGCTCACTGTAGCCTCGAACTCTTCTGCTGAAGCAATCCTCCTGCTTTAGCCTCCTGAGTAGCTGAGACTACAGGTGAGTGCCACCACACTCCGCTAATTTTTAATTTATTTTTTGTAGAAATGGGAGTCTCACTATGTTGCTCAGGCTGGTCTTGAACGCCTGGCCACAAGTGATCCATCTACCCCGGCTTCCCAAAGCGCTGGGATTACACGTGTGAGCCACCACACCCACCTGGTCTATGCAATGTTTTAAAGAAAGAGACCAGTAAAAAAAAAAAAGAGAGAGAGAGAGAGAGAGAGAGAGAGAGAAAAGAAATAGAGGTAATTACATTCTGGGAAGTGTGAGTAAAAAGTTGAATGGTTCTCCTGGAACTGGGAGACTAAATTCTGTTAACTTTGAAAATCATGATGAGAGTGAGATACACAATGGCACAGTGGAGAAAACCAAAGTTTTGAAAGATGGTGAAAGCCAGAGAAATTCCACTTCCATGTACAGTGGCCATTATCCTGGAGCAGAAAGCTTGTCAGGCCCTCAGGCTCCTCCCAGGGAAAAATGCCACACCCACATTCCCTGCTGAAAACAGGGGCCCTCAGCAGTTTCTGACTCCAGGAAGGCCATTGTCTATTTCTACTTCTTCTCCTTAGTATAGTTTGCTTCACCAGGACGGGCACTTAACTAAATGGTAGCTGACCTACTCACTGGCCAGCAGCTTATGAGATAGCCTGGCCCAAAGGGACATCTTAATAGGGACAGTAAAGATTAACCAAATCAATCATATCTTTTGTGGGGAATCTGCTTTTGAGACATATGGAGATAGTCACCAGATAATAGAAGCAGCAACTAAAATATACACACAGAAAAAGGGAGGGACAGATATAATGGGAAATGCAGAAATAGAAATGACAGGATGTGGTGACTGACCAGATGTGTGACGTAAGGAGGAGTGAAATGAACAAAGAAAACCATCAAGTGTTTAGCTGGAATGACTGAGGAAGTAGGCACCAGCATCAATCAAAATGGCAAAGTCATGAGGAGTGGCAGATCAAAGGATTAGGCCAGTTGAGGACATATTGAATTTGGTACATGAGTCAACACTCTGAATAAAGATATTCAGTGTCAGCCGCGTACCTGCGTGAGTTTTGGGAGAGAGTTCAGGGCTGATAACTTAGCAGTGGTGTAACCCACACAGAGCTGATGCTGGCACCGTGAGAATGGATACAATTCCTAAAAGAGAAGGGTAATAAAGAAGAAAGGGCTCTGCTTAGTGAAGAAAAAGTAGGAAAAGGAGCCAGTGAAGAGGCACAATTTGTTGACAAGAAGTTGGCAGGGATTCCAAAAGTTTGCGTTGTCATGGCAACTGGATTGGGAATAGCAGCTTGTGTTCCTCACTATCAAATGGTCAGAGGAGCCAAAGAGGCAGGACCATTGGTTTGGGGGGTTAAAAGGGCCATACTCACCGACTGCCAGAGTGATAGTTTTCAAGGAAGTGGAGGAAGGAAACGGAGACACTTTTTCAAAGAATTATGGTAGTGGAAAGAAGGAATTCACAAGATAAAAAAGGCAGAAAGGAGATTTAAGGGAAGGTAAGCATATTGTTCTCATTTATTTTTTAACGACAGAAGAGCATTTAGCATTTTTGTAAAGGGACTTGGTTAAAACAGAGGTGAAGATGAACGTCAGTGGAACTGAGAAAATAGAGAAACTGAGACAGGAATGAAGAGAGTGCTATACAGTTGTAAAATTCACACGTCCCACAGATTGTCATTGGTATGATGAACTCGCTGGGTTCAATTCAAACTCATGTTTAAGATTCTATGGCCCTTGTTAATTTGAATGAAGTGCTTCATGAGCTCAATTTGAAGCTCTGATAAATATTAACAAATAATGACAGATTTCTCCATTTCCTACTGTTTTAACCTAAGGTCTTCTCATTTCCTTTACTTCTTATAAAATCTTTAAAAATCATGTAATATAAAAATACTAGAATCAGAGATTTTTCACTTTCTTTTCCAATTGTCTTGTCAAAGTATTCAAGTCACAGAATGCTCAGACTTTTTTCTTTATGAGTTCTGATTTAAGTGTGAGTACCAGTTATATTATTTTTCTTTGTCATTTCCTTCCTTTTTCATACTGATTAGCACTTTTATGTTATTAAAAGTTTGGCCTACTAGCACCAAAACTTACCTTGCAAATTGAATTGCTTTGAATGTGTTTGTGAGGTCCCCACCATGTTGGGATGTCTGGGATGTTGCTACAATCATTTCATCTTTGGTTGTAAAAGTGTTCAAATTAAACACAACTCTTGGATTATTGGCATACTGAATTAACCCCACCTTTAAAAGAGCAGAAGTTTATTAATGGGCTGTCATTAAGTTATAAATAATTTCTATTTAACCAATATAATAAAAATAAAAAGTGCATTTAGGCATGGTCTGATAGCTTCAGGGAATCACTTCCAATTTTGTTCTTGATAGTTGTTTTTCTTCGATGGAATAATTTCTTCTTTGTTAGAGACCATCAGTGTACAACAGTAGTACAATTGCCAAGCAATATGATGTGCTATAGCTTATGATTTGGTTCTCAAGAGTAATAATTGTAGATTTTTAAGCACTGCCCTATAATATTTCAATATGAATGAATATTAGAACAAGGTTTTTAATAGGAAGATTAAAATTAACATTCTAAAATAACATTCAAATAAACATTCTAATCACCAATGGATATATGCTTATAAGCAATTCTAGTGGAGGGTAACATCTCATCACTTGAGGGCAATTGAGTAATAAGGAACTAGAGTTGGATAAAAGGAAAACCAATGTGCTCCTAATCAATGTAGTGTATTTGGGAGTATTTATTGTGCTGGATTTCCTGTATTATGGGCTTCAGCATCTATGGAGGGAAGTTCCTATATGTGCATGTCGGGCAGGGAGTTTCTGGCCTTCAGAGAAAGTGCTATTAGAGACAATCTTATTTGAAAGAGCTGAGAGAAAGAAGGACTTTTGAACAAGATGCTTGGGGACATTTTCTAATCCTAGAGATAAGAAAGTCACACCTTTCTGTTAATGTCCTTGTCCTCAGGCACTGAAATCAACCTCTAAGCCTAGGAGATGGGCTTTCCAGAACAGGAAGTGGCAATAAGGGTTCAGTAGTGCAGAGGCTTTCTGAAATAGAAGTCAGTATGGAAGGATCCGGGAAGGGGCAAGAACTGGATTTCTGAGTTCAATCCGCTATTTTTTGCTAGGGATGAAGATGATAACCCCATCTTCCTCTCACAACTTCTGTGTGAGAAAGGGGAAGAAAAATGTAAAGAAATGTGGTATATTAGGACTTATAGAAAAGTCAAATTTAAGTTGTAAGAAGAGAGACTGAGTTAAATCACTTCTAGAGAGGAGTAAGATGCATTGTGGTAGGATGACAGAGAAGAGGAAGGCCATGAATTCTGCATGAGACTATTCAATAAAATAAGTCATGTTATAGGGGCTTACCCATTTAGAGACAGAGAAAAATAAGCAGATACATATGACAGCTTCTCTTGTAAGGGACCATAACTGTGCTGCTCTCCAGAAACCAGTGTTATACCTAGTCTAACTTGACAGAGTTTTCTGGTAAAAGCCCACAGTGAAACTTCCAAAGCTTCAGTGGGTATTAAAGTCCTCTTGGTATTGAAAAGCAACATCAATGGGGAAAACGTGTAACAACACTTCATAATACTGTATAGGAAAGAAGAAAAGCAAATTTCAATAAAGATAACTGCAGAGCATTTAGGGAAAAATATACCAAGAGTTGTTACTAAATGTTGGGCATTAGAATATCAGATGCAATCCGAGAACGTACACTAGTAACTCTGTGACCTGGTCCCTGCTGATACTGATTCAGTGTGCTGCCGCGACCAGAATGACCCATGAAATGGAAAATCCAATCAGAAAGGAAAAACAACAACAAAGTCACAAAAATTCAGGAACTAAACTCTTAAATTAAGTGCTATTTATTCTTTTTATGGGAACATGAAACTTCTGCTCCTGAGTTTTGATTGCCTACCTCAAGAAGATATAAAAGCAAATTAAAGACTTATTGAAACATAGAGAGCTATGTCAAATAAGTGAAAAGACTTATTCTGTGTAAAAAAAAGGTAGCCTGGACTAAAATATTATAAAAATTATAACATAATAAATGGTAGAATTATATTTAGTGACTTATTTATAAAAATCCCAGAATTCAAAGATAATCGTTTTACCAGTAAAGAGTAAACAAAAGAAATTCATTATTAGTTCATATGGATATAACAAATACATATTGAATTTTAAAATGTGTAAATAAACTCATGGTTTAGAGGGGCAAAAATAGGTAGCTAAAAAAGGATTAAAATATTATATCCCATATTCTTGATTTCTGTGTCAGAAATGGAACTCCAAGGGTCAAAAGACTAGCACTGGGCAAAGTCTGAGGCAGAATAACCCAATGTAGTACAAGTTTCAATCAACTCTCAAAATTTCCATTAAATGTATTTAAAATGAGGATTTGGCAAATGCAAAAATTAAACTTCATATCTAACCATCAGAAAAAAAGGCCATGGGTTAGTTTATGTATTTCTGACATCCATACCTGTGTCTTTGTGGGGCCTATATCCAGGCCTTGTACAAATTTTTCCA